GTTCCCCCGCGTCTACACCACTCTCTCCTCGTTCCCGCGCGCTCTTCTCAACAACTCTCTACCTTATCACCGGCCACGTGTTCGAGTTGCGTACGACAGTTTGTGTTTGTTGTGCAGCGATTGTATGGTACCAGTGTTCAAGCTTTCATATATTTTTGAAAACGACTTTCCGTTCTCAATTGGCCCTCTATCAATGACCTGTGTTGCCTGTACTGTACAGCGAGGCATTTTGAGAAGGAGAAAACCGACCGGAATTATTACGGTGTACGGTGTATTAGTGTTTCAATGAGGGTGGTTTAATTATTATTAAGGATATTAGAACTGATAACGTAATCCTACTAATACTATAAAAATGAGAAAGTTTGGATGTATGGATGTATGTATGTTTCTGACAAGTAAACGCGAGAAATACTGGACGGATTGGGCTGAAATTTGGCATTATGATAGCTAACATTCCCGATGAATATATCGGCCTATTCTTATCTCAAAATTCCTTTAGGGCTCCGCCCCAGTGCCCCCAGTGGCTCTGCAGTTCCCCATGTTAACCTTATGAGTATCATTTGAAAGTATCAATTTTGAGTATTTTGAGTATCATTTTGAGTATCAATTGAAAGAAAAATAATTTTGAGAACTAGGGAATGTCGAAGCCATAATTTTAAGTCGTCAGTTTTTAAAAAATTAAGTTTTACATTTTTTGAAGTCTAGCAGTTACTGTATACCTGTATACAAATCAAACCTCACGAGTTTTCAAAAGAAAGCTTATTCCTTCAACATGTGACCAGTTCTTTTGCTCAAACGAATATTATTTTACTAGGTGAAACCCGTCGAAATCGACGGTTACTTTCAAGGCTTACGCTAATTCATCTAACTGCGATAAATTGAGTGAAATTATACATATTTTGAGCATTTAGCATTGGTTAAAGATTAATAAGCGTAAAAACAATAATAATATTAATTGCGTTTTTAAAATTTTGAAGTTTTGAGAAATTGGTTTTGGGGTTACTGTTAAAGCTGGAATTCCTAGAAATGGGGGATGTCAGTTAGTTGTCTCAGCCTTATCAATTACATAAAGTTGTCAATATAATCTTTCTACGGAATGTTAGGTGTAGTGGAATAAACTTGAAGTAATGTTGGCTTTTATTCTTGAACTGTTATTGGCCTCCTAATTTATATGACGTGCAGCTTCATTGGCAAAAAATAATGCGAATTACATAGTAATGAAGCATTTCCAAAAAGCAAAAAATAATGTAAATTGTCTGTTACGTAAATATTGATGCATACATTGTGAATCAACGTATCTTATAAAGTATGATGTGATCTAGTTTGAAATAAATACGACTTTCCGTTATGACAGTAGCTGATTAAATAGTTAACGAGTAACTGATTAAGTAGTTAACTCATTGTGCCATTTTGACAGCCAAAATGTCGTGTTATTTTCAATAATGTTACCAAACCAGTGGGCCACGGTCCGTAATATAGGCCTCAGTAAATAATTTGTCAACATAGGTACCAATTTAGGCAAGGTTTCTGTGTTTGGATGTTATTAGAAACGGTAAGAGCACAATAAAATTCTACTGCGGATGAATTTTCTGTTGGAGAAATATAAGCCGAGTTATAAATGTCACAATGCGAGTTTGAGCATTTTGTAACTATATTATATGGGTAAGTTACATATATTTTTAGGCTGCTCAGTGCACTTTAAGAATATATAGTTTAGAGATAAATTAAATGGTTTTTGTTGCCGAGTAGCGCTAGTAAACATGCACAACCCTTCTCGTTAGTCTAATAACATTCAAAGGCTCTCTAAGAGTTCAAGTTCTTATTTATATACATATCTATACATTATTATGTTTTCCCTAAGCTGAATGAATACATCGAAGTAACCTCTCTGAAAAGTCTGCAGTATATTGCAGTTTTCCAGCTTAATGACTTTCTAAATCATGCACATATTTCTACATAAATATTGTAAAATGTTTTATCCAGTTGCTGTAAACCACTATTAATTTAACAAAATATGGACACGGCTCAAATGGGCATCGTGCTCTTCTGCGCTTGTATTATTTTGTATTGTATTACACCATCGAAGATTTTTCCAACGATTGAAAGCATGTATGACAATAACCTCATGAACCCATGATGATATGTTTAGAATATTATGACAAACTATAGGGAAAAGGTGTGAAAAAGTCAGACACCAACCCGTGAATTAGATATAAGATAGTTCAATGAGAATTAATTGTATTGTGAAAAAAGGATTTTCCACTGATTTCGTAATGGGACGTTATATTTCAACACATGGCATGATACTGAAGAAAATCCAGTTTAAAATCAGAAAATAACATTGCAAATACTTCTTTTGGACTATTCAGTAACTCCCAATAAATTTGTGTTGCATAAAATACAATTTTAAAATTAACAGCTGTTTTATTAAAAATTATTTTCCACATGACCAAAATGTAAACAAATCTGTGGAGGGATCTTTAAAGGCTTCTGGGACAGAGACCTAATCGAAGAAAGAATGATTAATTACAGTTATGTTTATGTTTTTAATCTAATGAATATTTGTGGCATATTGTGAATTTTTGGTACTTCAGTATTAAACGGAGGCCACATTTTGTCAGCGCGCTGCGGCGGTTATGTTAGGTTGGGTTATCATAATAGAAAGTATCGTTCGATTCATAACGAAGCGAGGAAAGTCCTACACACATAATATTTACGATAACCCAACCTAACATAACCGCCGCAGCGCGCTGACAAAATGTGGCCTCCGTTTAATACTGAAGTACCGAATTTGTTATAATTTATTTTAGTCGTAGAACATTAGGGCTATGGTAGATGTGTAATACTACCTTGAATTTAGAGAAGCAAATGTTATCAAACTTTGTCCTTCCCCATTGCAAACAGAAAGCTCTTATGAGCATAACTGCAATCAACATTTTATACTGATATGCCAACCCCGTACTAAGGACGGGTACTCTGCTAGTAAAGGATATATGTGGGCGAGTCGTTTGATGATGTCAGGACACCAACGTTATAATTATGTGTACTGTGAATTTTATTGAATGTTTTCGTTTTATTTTAGGAAGTTTCTATTCAGACCTACTGGAAATTGTGTATAGTATGAGTAATTGTATTGTGGTCATATTGATTATGGAAGAGGCAGGTATGCGATTGAATTGGAAGGTGATATCGTTGACTAGGCCTATACCAATGAATACATATTTGTGTATGTATTGCCTATACACTTCTCAATTGATAATTACTCTTTCTACTGTAGGCTGTAATAAAATTTGTCTTTAAACGTGTAAGCTAGCTGTTCTGAATTATACAGTTTTAACTGGCTACTCCCGTACATAGAACGGGCTAACACTTCGTTTTGCTTATTTTTAATTCAGGATTATTCAGAAAAAAATTAATTTTGACTTTATAAATATACCCAAAAAGAGGTTTAGTATTACGAAATATCCAAAGGCAAATAAAAAAATATCTGTGTGACTTAGTTTTAAATATCCTTATATATAATACGTGAAGGCGATTTCTACAAAACACTACTCCTCCAATAATAATGGACGGATTTTTACAAACGACGTGTCAAAATAAAGTAGTTTTTGTGTAGACTCCCCCTTTCAACAATTCCTGTAATAAAAATCCTCGGGCTTTGCCCCACAGGCCATCAAAGTTGGAGTTTCTCCCATAAGATTAACATGGGGGAAACTAAATATTTAATTGGAAACTTTGTCCACACTAATTTGAGAGAACGGCTGGGCGTAGAAACTAGGTAGAGGTGTCCAAAGAAAGGTCTTGGTCTGTAGATGAGTTATCAAAAGAAAAACTAAGCAAAATCCCTTTGGACTCTGCCCCAGAAGCCTTTAAAGATCCCTCCACAGAGTTGTTTACATTTTGGCCATGTGAATAATACTTTTTTATGAAACAGCTGTTCATTTTTAAATTTTATTTCAAACATCACACTTTTTGGGAGTTATTTTTATTCCGTTAATTAACGTAAGCCTTGAAAGTAACCGTCGATTTCGACGGGTTTCGCCTAGTTAATATTATTACTGTAACAATATTAGAGCCAGTCTGTTAAAAAACAGATTAATTATTGATATATTGATAATTACTATAACAGTAAGTGCAAACACCAATCAACATAAGATAGTCAATTTGTGTCAGTTAGCAATGTGATTTGGTTTAGGGTTGCTAGCCCGGACCACGGATACGACGGGCCGTGCCCGTGCCAGGCCTCGCGTATACGAGAAGCAGTGATGCAGTGTGTGGCTAGAGGAGGGGTGAAGGGGGACAGCTCAAACACACACCTACAGCGCTGCCTCCAAACGGACATCCAAGCGCGCGCGGTGGCGACTTGTAGAACTACTGCTCCTCACCTTTAGACTAGCCTGGCGGCCAAACGGCCTTAATGATAGTCTGTTAGGAGGAACACCTTTTGTTTTTCTTTCAGATTTTCTTACTTTAAAGTTAATATCATTATTCTGATGATCATCTCCATTATTTATTATTCTCATCAATCATATATGGCTCGTTGTGTTCAATCTCTTCCATTTCATTTGACATTATGTTCTTTAGTTTCATTTGCTGATGTTTGCCTATCTTCAAGTACAAGTTCATTTTTCTCATCAGTACCTTTTTGGTTGATCAACTTGAACACTTCTTTGATTTTCCTCAACCTTTTCATGTCTTTAGAGTAAACTGTCTACAGGCAATACCCTAATGCTTGAATTAATTAAAATGCTATAAATCTAAAACCATTTGGGATAAAGAGTTGAAATTTGGAATATTTTCATATCTTAGTAGGAAGATCATAACCTATAAGTTTAATTGAAATCTGAGATGGTGGGTGACAATTTGAATTCTTTGTGGATGATTTGATGTGGAATGACCCCCGGAAACATTTTGATTCCTGTTTCATTGATTTTAAAAACAAAATGTAAAATGGCACTATGATTATCTAGGCTAACAGTATTGTTTGTTTGGCTTTGTAGGGATCCCAAGATCATGGATCTGCTCTACTGTGAAGCCAGATACAATATATTGGAAGGTAGATATCCCTGTGAAGTAGGCCACTACATCATGCTGGGGGGTATACAGGCTAGACTAGAGCTTGGACCTTACAATCCCCACATCCACACCATCCATTTCTTCAGGTTTGTAGATATCTTTGTTTATTAGAACCTTGATAACATGTATCTCAAGGGGATTATCAAATAACATGTAATCAAACGTATTTTGAAAATAACATTTAATTTTACATTTCTATATTTGAATTTTCAAGTCAGTACCTTGAATTCCCAAGTAGCTCATCTAATCTGACCTACTTTACCACTCAGCACATTACAGTTTCCATTCTTGCATTCGTTCACCAAGAGTTAACATGTACTCCTTGTTCATTCACTTATTAATCAAGATTAAAGATTTTTTATTTTATCATTGAACATGAAATACAGTAATAGACCACGTCAGATTATTAAGATTGGTTACATGTAAAATACTAGGTATGTGGCCTTAGTTTCGCCAATTGAGCGGATGTAAAGTTCTTTATTAGTCTAGGCCTATGTGTGTTGGTAAATAAATAAATGTCCAGGGTTTACAATAGTGAACACAAATAAACCTTTTATTTATCAAATTGTACAAATATGGTTATAAATTTAGATGAAATTCTTATCTCAGGCTTCTAGGAGTACCGTGCCGGCTCAGAGTAGGCTTATGTGATTTTGGATAGGCATAAGCCTAATGTTCATCAAAAGTTACAGTTCAATTAGGTATACACTTTTGAAAAGATGAAAGTTCAAATTTTGAATTTAGTAAAATGATAATTTAGGTTAAAGTTCAAAACGGCAAAAGTCAATAGAAATTTTGCAATGTGAGTATTTTAGCAAAGTAGGCCTAAGTCAAGTTCAGTTTGATCTCACCCAAAAGTTTATAGCAGTCTTCACCACAAAATATTTCTTGATGTAGAAATGATAGGTATTAAGTAATTGAGATAGATCTTGAGGTTTAAATACTGTTAAGTTAAATCACCAATTAAAATTTTCATATCAGATTCCTTCCTTGCTTCTTCATCACTTACTATGCAATTGAAAATCTTGATGTTAAATTTCATACATCTGTTGCAACAATTAGTTATCACTGGTTTCTTGATGTCACTCACTATTCACTGTTAATTATGATTGGTTGGTATTATATCGAGTATTTTAATTATATTTTTGAAAGTGAAAGAGAAGAATAATTTTGTAAAATAATTCAAACTGTATAAATAACTTCCAGTGATTACAAATTTCAGCTTATTAACCCATTCACTTATGATTTTTTTTTTACCCGCCTAGGCCAAAACAAACGAATTTGTTGTGGCTAGTTTCATTCATTTCTGATTTAATTTTTTTTCAGGCAACATTTACTATTTATATGCAAGATATTATTATTTTCTTATTCAAAATTAAATGTAGATTCAAAATATATAAATATTTCCCAAAAAAATATAACTATAATTTTTTATTATACCATATAAAAATAAAATAAAAAAATTAAAAAATTAAAAAAAACTTTTTTATTGGTAATTTTTAGCTACATAGGGCTCATATATGTTTTGGAACTAGTCTATAATACTGTATGACACTTATAAAAACTCACCAAATGTCAAGCAAAGTTCATTTTGGTGTGGTATGCCTTGAAACACTCTGGCATGTGAAGTGCGACAAGGCAGAGCTCACACTCCCATCGGCTGTCACTGCGCTTTCCCTGGGCACTACACACCTTACATCTTCTTGAAGGTGTTTGTTTGACTTCATTTGGAGGAATAGGCCTAGGAAAATGTCCCCAAGTTGCTGCCTGGAGCCTCAGAGGTGTTTCTGAGTTGGATGATCGTCCTCTTCGATTGTACGGTGGCAGTTGTCGCGACTCAAACATTTGCTTGACAAACCTCTCCTTGAACTCACTAAACCCCAATTTTTTTCTGGTTAATTTTTTGAACACTACATAAGAGTTAAAAAGGCCAATGTCCATTATGTAAAAGAAGATCTTCTTGTATCCCTTAGCATACCTCCTCATACTAGGAAACGACGCTAATTGCTGATCCTCGCGGTCAATTCCACCCATTGAACGATTATAGTAGATCACTGGTTCTGGCTTTGTTATAATTTCTTGGGTAACTCTGTCTTTCTTGCCAGTTGATCTTTTGTCAGCTTTTTGATGAAAGGTAGACAAAATGCAAACTTGCTTCTTGTCCTGCCACCTTACTGCTAACATATCGTGGCTATAGGCTGTCTCGTAGTCGCCCAACTTAAGTTTACCCTCTTTGAAGCTCTCTGGCATGTTTGATCTCCACCAGTTAGCTGTTCCAATTACATTGAAACCTATTTGCTTAAGTCTATAGAAGAGAAGAGGTGAGGAATACCAATTATCAATTGTCAGAGTATGTCCTTTTCCTGCCAAATCTTTTGTCATTTCAACGACTATCGCCTCACTCGTTAACAGCTTTTCCTCCTGTGTAGAATCCCCACTTCCTTCTTCAACCGGTACATTTTCTTTGACTTCAGCTCCAGTATAGATCTTAAATTTAGAACAATAACCACTTCCAGATTCACAACACTTGTAAAACTTTATGCCAAATCTGGCTCTCTTCTTGGGATTAAATTGGACATAGCCCAACCTCCCTCGGAACTTCATAAGACTCTCATCGACAGCTATGTTTTCATCAGGTATGTACAGATGGGAAAACTTCCTGTTCATGTACTCAATAACGTACCTTAACTTCCACAGTTTATCATTCACAGGTTTCCTATTATTGTCTGTAAGGTGGAAAAATGTGGACAGTAGCAAAAAACGGCGGAATGGCATCACTTTACGAAAAAAAGGGGTCTCAGTTACAGCATTAGGCGACCAGTATGATTGTATGGTTCTTTTTTTTACAAGCGACATAAGGACACACAGTGTATAAAAACAAGCCATCTCATCTGCAGTTGTGTCAAACCATTCTGAGTATATAGTTTTTCCTACCCCGCCTGCTTCGTTCTTTTTCTTAATTGTTTCTTTGGCATAATTATTAGTCTCTGTTGCAACATGTTGCCAAAAGTCATTATCAAGAAACGCATTGAAAACATCTAATTCAGAGGGAGCTGAGCCTAAACTTCTAGCCAAACTTGCTCTAACACCAGGACAACCAGTAAAAGGGATTTTATTTATTATATTACTTTCTATGGTACTGGTCCACTGCCAACCCTCCTTTTTCTTCTTTTTTGGTGGAGCTGTATCGTTACTAGTTTGAGTTTTGGACCTTTTAGTAGGCTTAGATGGTTGTGAAATAGCTTTTTTTCCTATAGGCCTACCTCTTCCTCTAGACCTGCCCCTAACAGGTTTACTTTTAGGCCTAGGGTCAGGAAAGCTAGGGTCGTCAGCTTCCTCACTCGGTGTAGGTGAGAGGGCAGGCACGATTGAAGATGCAAGCTGGTCAAATAATTCAGGCCTAATAGGCAAATCTAAATCAGATTGGACATTTGGAGGGGTCATAGGCCTATGCCTGCCACTATCTATATCATTTATAGGCCTAGAGTCAGGGAAACCAGGGTCGTCAGCTTCCTCACTCGGTGTAGGCGAGAGAGAAGGCGCGCTCATACTACCGCGGTATAACCGATCAAGAAACTGGACTGATTTAGGCAATTCTTCATCACGTGATGGGGAAGATACATGCTGATCAAATATTTCAGGCCTACTAGACAAATCTGAATTATATTGGACAGTAAGGGCATCTGGAGGGGTCATAGGCCTAGCATAGCTGCAAGAAGGCTGTTCAAGCAACAACTGGTCACTTTCTAATGGCCTAGGCCTAACACAATTAGTATTATGTTCTGGGGAAACTGTGGTCTCATAATCAATAGGCGTATTAGACTTATTACTCACTTGAATTCTGCTCCCTTCCAAATCATCATCATCACTCCAACCACTCTCCTCAAACAAGTCACAATCACTGTCACTGTCACAATCCCCTATAAGTTTTATGATGTCACTTTCATCTAACTCTTTTCCACATTCATCCACGAATACCAAGTTATTTTGAAGACTCATCGTATTATACAAAAGCTTTTCAATTGAATAATATAGTAAAACAAGATACTGTAGCTCAATCTTTATCACGACGAAGTGAAACACGACATGATAGGCCTAATAACTCAGTCATTATAACGACGAAAAAGTAAAATACTGATAAAAACTTACACTAAGTAAATTCTATAACTTATTTTATAAGATAACTACACTTTTCAATAAAATAATAAAGTAAAACAAGGCTCTAACACAATGTTTACATCGTCGAAGTAAACACAACAACGTATCAGCTGTGAAACCAGTGTAGACGTCGTCAGCTGCTAAGTTGCACCATTTCAACTTCAGTTTTTTTGCCGATTGGACTGGACTGAGATGACGAAAATATAACCAAAAGAAAGCCTGGAAATCATAGAACAAGAAGCATATGCGATCTATTGGATTTCTTGGGAACTAACTCGGCACAAACAGGTTTTAATAGCGGACGGCGATTCGCCGTCGCTTCACACAATGGCTAACGGGAGCGCGACGGCGGATCGCCGTCGTTGTAAGCGAAGGGGTTAAATAATAAAAGACAGTGTTTGATGAGAATGTGAAATATGGAAATTTACAATAGGTGAAACCTTTTGCCCTTTTACTGTATTTAAACATGTGATAATTTAGAGGTATTAATTTAGCTAATAGTAGGCCTAGGTGTTTGGATACATAACACATGGTTTATAAACAACTTATATACAAATTCAAAAGTAAACAATGAGGATAATTTTTGAACATCTCAAATATCCCTCAGAAATCTGTTATTGGAGTATCCAATACTAGATTTTGAATAATGTGAACAAAATTATCATAGAAAACATTAATATTGGAATAGGAAATACCTCAAATTAACAAGTTGTATCATTTGAATAAGAGAAAACATAGTAATGAACTAGGTGAAACAAATAAAAGTTTATAAGTTCTTGAGAGATTAACCCTCCGAGTGTTATTTGTGTAGTGTTTTGTGTCGCTACAGCGACTCACAAACACTGTTTACGGCGAAGGCTCTATGACTGACAAAATTAGATTGAACTGGATCGAGTTAGGTATCGTTTTATTATACAGATTCAGAGCT